AAGATTGACGTTATGAACCATCCTATGGATGATGCTATGGATGGCCTATGAACGACACTATCCCATGGATGACACTATCCTAAACTATCTCGAACTATGATCATTTTAGANCCATCCTATGGATGATGCTATGGATGACCTATGAATGACACTATCCCATGGATGACACTATCCTAAACTATCTCGAACTATGATCATTTTAGAACTATTGATTCAACACACTAGATTAACTCTTGAAAAAATTAATCTCGCCTAAATTTTTAATTTCAAAATCTCTTAAATCACTCCACTTAATTTGGCCAAATATTCTGCCCCCTACGAAAAAAAAATCCCTTCTCTCCCCCTATCTTTATTCTTTGTCCAATTGTGCCCCACTCTCTCTATTCTTTATCTCTCTCTCTCCCCCAAGCCACACCAACGACGAAATCAACGACTCCGACGACGTTGTTCTCTCTCTCTCTCTCTAATTGTTGTATCTCTGTTGCTCATCTTTTACTTGGTTGCTCATTTTGTGCACACGTCACACCAGGTAGCTCACAATTCTCTGTTTCTCACNTTATTCTTTGTCCAATTGTGCCCCACTCTTTCTATTCTTTATCTCTCTCTCTCCCCCAAGCCACGCCAAAGACGAAATCAACGACTCCGACGACGTTGTTCTCTCTCTCTCTCTCTAACTGTTGTATCTCTGTTGCTCATCTTTTACTTGGTTGCTCATTTTGTGCACACGTCACACCAGGTAGCTCACAATTCTCTGTTTCTCACCCTCTATGTCTCTATCTCTCTGCTTTTATATCTCCACTGACTACTCAACACACACAGGACATACACACACCACGCACATAAGTTGTTCGACAAAATACTCCCAACTTTATTCTCCTAACTATATATGCACACACTCATTTCGGTCCTTCTCTGTTTTTGTTTAGATTTTTATTTTCATGTTCTTTCAATTTTGGTTTCTAATTTTTGAATTAGATTGGTGATTGGATTCTATAGATATTAAACAACTTTGAAATTTAAATCAAAATTGAGAGGCTGCTGTAGTTGTTTTGGATTCTCAATGTTTTTCCTAGTGAGAAGAGCTCTCAAAGACATTNATGCACACACTCATTTCGGTCCTTCTCTGTTTCCGTTTAGATTTTTATTTTCATGTTCTTTCAATTTTGGTTTCTAATTTTTGAATTAGATTGGTGATTGGATTCTATAGATATTAAACAACTTTGAAATTTAAATCAAAATTGAGAGGCTGCTGTAGTTGTTTTGGATTCTCAATGTTTTTCCTAGTGAGAAGAGCTCTCAAAGACATTCTGAATTGAATGTATCAAATATTAAAGAGTTAAATATATGTTCAATTGTTCTTACTTTTTCGACCTTTATGGAATTTTGCCCAATCCAGTTGACTTTTTTCCCCCTTCTTCAACCTCATTACTTCAACAAGAATTCATATTAAACTCTTGAGGAATGANTTGACCTTTATGGAATTTTGCCCAATTCAGTTGACTTTTTTCCCCTTTCTTCAACCTCATTACTTCAACAAGAATTCATATTAAACTCTTGAGGAATGAAATTNCGACCTTTATGGAATTTTGCCCAATCCAGTTGACTTTTTTCCCCCTTCTTCAACCTCATTACTTCAACAAGAATTCATATTAAACTCTTGAGGAATGAAATTTTTCAATATAAAGACTGTTATCAAACTGTGAGACAAAAACTTTGATCTTTTGTGTCATGTATATACTATGGATGCAGCATCTCAAAGAAAGGTAAATTGTCAGCAATGTGCCAAATTATTTGATTGGTGTAAGTTAAATTTTTAATGGTTATCTATGAAATGATGAATTTGTTGTGGATTTTTTATTAAAGCTATTAAATAATATAATTGTAGTTTAATATTAGGCGTGAATTGTTGAAATATGTCATTAATTGTGTCCTTGGAGAATGTATGCCACATACCTACAAATCCATTGTTGGATGTTTAGGTCCATCAATTTACTTGAGTGGTTTTGGCCTTTAGTTAAATGATTAGAGAGTGATATAATTGTAGAGCGCTATGATGGAATTTTGGAATTCATTTGGGAAATAAAAGCGTATGGTTGATGCAAGTTGTTAAAAGGGAAAAAAATTCATTGTGCANGGCGCTATGATGGAATTTTGGGATTCATTTGAGAAATAAAAGCGTATGGTTGATGCAAGTTGTTAAAAGGGAAAAAAATTCATTGTGCAATTTTGTGACTTTTGTGTAGCCATGATTTTCCTTGTTTGATGTTTATTATTCTTAATCATTAGAATTTGTCATGGGCACCTAAATTTTCGACTGATAGAGGTCAAATTGTTGAGAGCTATTCATAATTGTTTTACCTTTTATTGTCTCTCCTTCTCCCAGATCGAATAATCATAATTTATTGTTATCCTCTTTTATTTCTTAGTTTTTTGGTTGAAGATGATTGTTCAATTTCATGTTTACAATTTCAGCTCAAAGACTTAATAGTTGGAGGCGTCACATCATGGCTTCTTGGTTTTGCATGGAGGTTTTGTTCAACTTTGTACTTACGTTGAAGACGATATAGGTTTATTGTTGTTATTGTGATCGTATTGGTTGATGTTTTGTCTAATGTAATATTTTTTAGAAGATATCTCATATTTGCATAAGATTATGTAAGTTCTTAATAGGCTAATATACAAAGATAAAATATTCAAGCAAATATAGGAATGATGTGCTATGAATTTGTGAGTTGAATTATTTAGTAGTGGAATGTTCAATATCATTTTCTCATTTGTGGTTTTGGTTGTGATCAATGTTTATATTGTTTGGGTTGAATTCTTTATGATAAACACTACCATTATTGTCACCAAAGATAAATATGAAAAGTTGAATTTTTTACTGAAAAATTAATTATGGGTCTGTAGATATGAAAAGAAATACGTTTCTAATTGGTTGGATTATTGTTGAGTTAAATTTGATTTGATTGGACTAAGATTAAAAATTAGAGAGAAGGAAAGAAAATAACTTAATTTATTAGGAATTGTGTAATTCTAGAAAACGAAGAAAAAAATAAATAATTGATGTATTATATTTATATTACACTATTGGTCATAGATTTTTTTTGTGTTACACCGGTGCCTTCGGGAATGAGAAATTACTTGTATTTATATATTCAAATTAATTATTTTTTTTATTATTATTTTTACGATAATTTCAAAAAAAGGAATGCACATAAAATGAGTGAATTTAATTATTAATGGGGTATTAGATCAAAAAAAATTATTAATGAAATATATATAATATAGGGTAGATTTAGTTACCAATGAATTAAGTATAAAATGAGTAGAGTTAGTGGTGTGATATTGAGAAATTAAATGGGAGGTTGATAATGGAAATTTGTGGTCGTGGGAATAATCCTCCCATAGTCGACATGCATACCGCCTGGTGGGGTCTCGTAGCATTCTGGCGACGGCGAATTCTTGCTATTCCATCGCCGGTTCAGGTAATCACATTTGTCCTTTAATCTTCCAAAGACCCTTTTTACAAACTTCCCATAAATTACATGCATATATACGTATGTATATGTTTAAACATGACCCAAAAAATAAGAATTAACTTTGAAAATTTCGACTATCTATAGCTGATGTTAAGCAAATCAACTCGAATGCTTCACCTATTATTTATGGTTCCACTCCACTGTAAACTGGGTCACTTCACTTGGCTCAGCATAACCCATTTTCATGGTTGATTCTCTGCACTGGTAAGCTGGGTTTACAGAGTTTAAAGACACACACACAGATAATACACAATAAAGGCATATATACACTTTATGCTTGCATATGTGAATGTACAAAACAAGAATAGTTAGATCCATTGGAGATTGAGACTTAAATTTGTTTGTGCTACTCTGCTATTGGCATAATGCTCAAATATGTTTGGGGGGGGGGGGGGGGGGGGGTNGTGACGCTTATAACATCTCCTTTGCGAACCAAGGACCTTGCCTGTGAGAAGAAATTTGAGTGATAGGCAATTTGATGTCTTAATACATCAGCCTTCATTTCCTTATATGGCTTAATGCCAAAAATGAAACTCATGATCATTATGATCAAGAGATGAAAACAATAAAGTCAGCAACCGTGGGCATTTTATCAATGGTATCACGGTTGAAGTTTGATTATGTAGCTTATCCTCCCTTCCAAAACAAATATAGAGTTGGTTGAGAAATATTAAATGATTGAAAGAACTCTGATTCGGCCAAATAAAAACTAAGGAATCCATCCGGTCAAGGTTGTTGCATTTTCTATAATAATGATGCTTACTTTGCTAAATAAAAACTAAGGAATCCATCTGGTCAAATAAAAACTAAGGAATCTATCCGGTCAAGGTTGTTGCATTTTCTATAATAATGATGCTTGCTTTGCTAAAAAGAGTATGATGATGCCATTAATTTCTTTTTGGAAGGCTAGATAGCACTAGCTGAGAACAACTGAGATCCATTTGCTTGTTCCATATTTCTACTTTTTTAATATTGAAAAATGTGTGCTAGTTATCCTATCTTGATTTCTGACATGTATCCACTACTTAAAGTAGTACTGGTCAGCATCTTCAATTGGGCCAAAGAATATATAATTTCTCATTGCCTTTACCAGTTTTCTAGCATGATTGTATAGTTTTTTCAGTAATAAGTCTAGAGCATTTCGGGTTTTGGCTGTCCATTAATATAACTTGGTCTTTAGGCTTCATGGAACTTAGAAAACATTTCTGGTGTCAGTTTATTTGTTTGTTTAATTTATTATATGCAGTTTAAATGCCTGGCGATTACAGATTTCTGACTATATTTGTTCTCCTTCATAATTATTCATTATTGATACATTGCATCTGCTACATTTGCATAGTTTTTTTAATTTTTTTGGTACAGGCCACCTCTTCGACTGGGAACCATGGATATATCATCTTGAAGGATTAATCATTTTATACTGTTATACAAAAATCTTTGCTATTCTCTTTTGCCATGCCATGCATCTTGGATTTGAGAATTTGTGCTATACTACAAAATGTAACTTCGCATTCTCCTCTATCACCAAATCCTTTGGCTTTCAATCTTGGTTAAGCAGAGTTGTTTACTTTAGACAGAATCACGTCTTGCAAAAATGAAGAATGAATTGCAAACATACTTACCCAATGAACAATGCTCCAGTCAGAGCCATACTCTTCTGGTGAAACAGGCTTTCTTCCAGAGATCAGTTCCAGGAGAACAACCCCGAAACTGTAGACGTCACTCTTTTCAGTCAATTGCTGATTTGCATAGTACCTGTTGGGGGAAAATACTCGGTTAAAATTGGGCAGGAGAAAATACTCGAGCATGTATGCAAACTCAAGGTAAGCATGGCTTACTCTGGATCCAGGTAGCCTACTGTTCCTCGTGCCACACTTGATATATGAGTTAAATCCTCTTCAGCTTGCCTTGAAAGTCCAAAATCAGACACTTTGGCCCTCATATGGATGTCTAGGAGAATGTTGCTTGTTTTTACGTCTCGGTGAATGATACTAGGGTTGCATCCAGTGTGTAGGTACTCGAGGCCTACAAAAATCTGAACTTGCAATCACGCTGTTGGCTTTAAAATTCATTGCTACATGAACAAGAGAGAAGTTCCATATCAACCTTTTGCCGCATCTGCTGCAATACAAAGACGAGCTAGCCAGTCCAAGTGCTTCTGCTTGACAGGATCTGTCAACAGTTTTATGTCACTGTGTTGCTTTAGTTATTTTTGTAAAATAATATACTGGAAAATGGGAACGGTAGCAGACCATGTATGTGATCCCGCAAGGTACCATTGTGCATGTATTCGTAAACCAGCATGCGTTGATATTCTTCTTCACAGTATCCAATTAAAGGAACCAAGTTTCTGTGGTGAATTCTTGACAAGAGAGCTACCTGTGAGTATGTTTTTGTAGTTAATGATTTGAAATGGTTGATAATGATTGCAAACTTTGCTTAGTGGATTTTTTTTTTCTATTATATGAGTCTCATGTCTATATTTGATGAATTCATCTATCAAAGAAAATGCCTTTTCTTTGTTGCAAAAGAAAAGGCCTAACACTTATATTTCCCCACAATGGTGTGTTTTGTGCAAGCAAAGTTGTGAAAGTGTTGACCATTTGTTCCTTTGTTGCCCTACACAAACTCTCGAAGGAAGCAGATTCGATATTGTTTATACCCGCTATTGTGCTTCTCTCTTGGTAATGCAATTGGATGGTTTTGGTAAAGGGAGAAAAGCTTTAACATTATGGAACTGTGCAATTTTGGTCATTTTTTTTGGGTGGTATGGATAGAGAGAGGAACTGTAGAATTTTTTGAAGGAGGACAGAAGGAGGAAAATGATTTATTGTGGGATAGAGTGAAGTTTCTGGCATCTTTATGGGCGGTTGTTACTAAAGGGTTTTGAGATATGTCTTTATCAGCTCTCCAACACAATTGTGCTCTCTAACACAACTGGAAAGCTGTTTGTATTCTTTAATTTTGTTTTGTTTTATTTGTCTTATTTTGCTCTTTAAGGTGGATTCCTTATCCACTATTTATCTACACTTCTTATGCTTCTTTCAATGAAATGAAAGTGTTGTTTCTCGTTAAAAAAAAAATCTATCAAGGAAAAATGTTTACATCTTAATTCCTAATCACTTCTCCTTATGCTACCAGTCTTATATAGTTCATACATTTTCTAGTTCTTTCATGGAGATACATTTTAGTTGTGTTATCATGTTCAAGTTCCACAGGGATTGTTTAGGAAGTTGCTTCTTTTCAAAAGCTCAATCAATGAAAAAAGCTGTCAGTTTGGTTTCATTTCATTACTAAACCACTTTTTTAGAATCCCCCACGTTAATAGAATTATCCATGAAGATAAGGAGTGCTGCAGAGATCTTATATTTGCAAAGATAGCCTCTAATTAGCCAAGGAAATTAATGTTCTCTTGATCATCATACTTATAAGTTAGTGAGTGACAAACTTAGAAATCTGTAGCTTATTGGCTTGCAGGATATTGGAGTGTAGCAAAATAATGGCAGATTCATTTCCGCACAATGGATAAAGTGATGATGTTAACATAAACCATGCTGAACATACAATTACCTCAGTAACAAATTGCTGGGTCCCATGGCTAGATGAATCAGCCATGATCTTAACTGCTATCTCTCTTCCATCTTCCATTTGGCCATAGTATACAGGTCCAAAACTTCCTTTTCCAATTTTCTTGGCAAAATTTCTCGTAGCTGCTTCTAGCTCTGAGAGTGGAATGTAGTATGCTACACCTTCATCCATCAAATGCCCACCTCGTGCATATGAGTAGGCAGTTGAAGGCTTTGTGCTGGTGCGCAAAGAATCACCTGATCGGCAAAAGAGAAGTATTGTCTATGGAGTGGATTTGCACCTTAGTATCAAAGGTAATGAAAGGAAGTTGTAACGGTTCATACCTTTTCCATCATTTTTCTGATAATATGTCTTTTTCCGATTGTAACGCAATCGTAGCAAACTTCCCACAAACAGAACAAGCAGAATTGCTAGTACTCCCACCGAAGTTCCAAGTATCAATTTATAATTAGTCTTATGCTTTCCTCCTCGACTTAGCCCAGGATTATGCTCATAGCTGCACGCAAAAAAATGCGGCTTTCAAAATAAGTGCTGTGCTAGATTGTTAGAAACTCACTCTCTCTCCCCCCCCCCCTTTTTCTCTCTCTCATGTAAATGTGTTTCTTTGGACCATCATGATTACTTTGCCCTAGTATATGTTACCATGAAACTGTCTTATTATTCTGCGATGCATGTTCAAGTGTTTCTGCAGAAATATTTGCATTTTGCCTGGGGGTCTTGATGGCTGTATACCTTTCACCTTATTTCTACTAATCTGATCCTTGGTGCACAATTTGTGTCTATGTAATGGAAAAGAGCTTGGGACATCTGATGGGACTAAGTTAAGTGCTGGATAATTTAACTCTTTTTTCATACACTGGAGTAATGATGACCTCATGAGTTATCTAATATGATACACAAACACAAATTTGAGTTTATTTGGCAATAAAAACTTCATCTTTTATTCTCTTGGCAAATGTAGTTATGTTGCTCTTATGTATGCCTGATAGTCTCCATGATGGTGCTCGCTGTATATCTTGGTTTAAAAGCATGTTTATTCTTTTATTGTAACCAATGGGCCTTTGGTCCAATCCCCCTCCCCCTTCCCCCTTCCCCTTTCCCCTTTCCCCTTCCCCAAAAAAAATAAAAAAATAATAATAATAATATTCTTTTATTGTATATAGGAAGCATACTTACTTGAAAACTACTTTTCCTGTTAACAATGCTGGAGGAATTTTTCCGCTCAAAGAATTGTTTTGTACATACCTGCCACATAAATGGACACAAATTACTGCACAGTTAAATTTGGAGCCAGTAGCTCAGTATTTAGGGAAAGCATATCTACCCTTATTTTTTGAAACTTCCAAACATAAATGTTTCTACAATAGGGAGTGTCAATGCAATGGTCGTGCAGATGTTAAGATATCTAGGTCACTACGTACAGTTCTGTTAAGCTTGGTAAACTACCCAGGTAAGAAGGTAATGGACCAGACAATCTGTTATTCTCTAGATGCCTGCAAATTCACCAAAAGTTAACAAGTGGTCATCAAAACTGGAATTCTCTTGGTGTAAACAAATGAAAGCCATATGAGGGAAGAGATTTACACAATTTTCAAATTGACTAGACTACTCATATCGGGGATTCGCCCACTGAGGGAGTTGCCATCCAGCCATCTAATATATAGAAACCAGTACAACAGACTGAGACAGGAATTAACAATGGAGATGAACTTCTATCCTTACTATAAATCAGCACTTACAGCTCTGTCAATGCCTCCATGTTGTTCAGCTCAGATGGGATTTCACCCTTCACATTTTTGCCTGACAGTGCACTGTTCAAACAGGTCAGTAGAATATGTAGTGTAGGGAAAATTGCATCCATTTTATTTTTGTTTCTTGGATTAACTTTTATCAAGGAAGTGTGAGCTTCCATCTAATTTGCACATATTTTTTTTTTTGTAAATCTAATTTACACTGCTACACCCCTTTTACTCTCAATAGGAGGCAAAAAGCTGTAGCCCACATACACCAATATTCCTAAGTTTTGAAGATATTTAAATGTCGTTGATGATTGCACAATTTTTTACATTTTTTTTTTCTTTTGGTTGTCTATAATTTTAAGCTGTTGTAGCACAACAATGAGCTGAATTTTGTTCAGGTCTGCATTTACAAATCCATTCAATGTGTGGATGTAGCATTGTATGTTTTTTTAAAACGTTCTCGTTATTTACCTAGCGGATGCTTGTATTGTCCTGGTAGTACACTTATGTCTCAGATGCCCCGTTATTTTCATTGACAAAGTGTAATGAACTTACATTTTTGTGATTCTTGGTGGAATGGTATTGTCGCAACTCACCCATTCCCACTGAGCAGGGATACAAGGATCACCTTCTTCAGCTGTCCAATCACTCCCAGCAGACATGGAGCGAAGGGCATTGAGAATATTCACTTCCATGTTAAAACATTCAAAGAATTAGCGCATAGGGTAAAGCACATCCATAATTTCACATATTTTTTCATTCATACGGGCACTATTATAAATTTGTATGCTTTACATGGTGAGAAGGATTGATTGAAGAGTAAGCATACCAAGATTGGAGTCTTACCATCTTGCCCCTCTGTCTTGGGGCCAATCTCCACATATTTACTTATTTCGATTGCATTTAGGAGTGGTCCTCGAGTAGAATCCCTGGTCTTTACAAAGGCAAATGACAACACAAAATTCAATGTAACATTCATATAGCTGGGTTCATATAGAGTGTAGCTTCCGTTGGCATTCTCAGCAATATTTACAACAGCATTGCTGTAGTCGGGAATATAAGGCTGTTCCATTCTAAACTTTCGAGTTTCATTCACTCCCAAGTCTTCAATTTCAGCAAAATATGCATAAGCTCGAGCATTGGCAGGGAAATCTTCTAGATTTAATCTGTAACTGATTGTACCTTTGGTGCCCTCCACTGCAGTTTGCATTACTTTAATCGGTGGGTATTCTCTTGTGTTTGTGTCTATGTTCTTCATTGTATTGATTCTTTCTGTGCCAGGGGCCTCCCCTACGAGATAATTTTGCCTTTTATCGAGATCTGAATCCCATATACGGTCATAAGGATCATCCGGGTACCTGAGGGAAACAGGCAGTTTGATGTGATTGCAGTAGTGGTGTCTAGCATGTGTGGCTTTTCCACTCAACAAGTTTTTGATTCCGAAGTAATTGGCTTGGAATTTAGTGTTTTGTTCTTGTTTTTCTTTTTTTTTTTTTATCTCGTAAATACTGATACATCTGGTAATATGTTTCAATTTCTTTTAGCAATATTGCAAAATTTAGTTGTATGAGGTCAATAGGTATCATATCATCTTGCGCCCAACAGCGAAGAAGATATGCTTCTGATCTTTTTATTGCAGNTTTTTTCTTTTTTTTTTTATCTCGTAAATACTGATACATCTGGTAATATGTTTCACTTTCTTTTAGCAATATTGCAAAATTTAGTTTGTATGAGGTCAATAGGTGTCATATCATCTTGCGCCCAACAGCGAAGAAGATATGCTTCTGATCTTTTTATTGCAGATGTGACCATTCAATGAGAGCTTACCTTATGGCTTCCTTGGTTAGAGCTCCAAAGTTTACTCTTGCTGCTACTTCTAAGTAGAACTCATCCTCAAAATCCGTTGCATACATTGAAAGGTTCAATGGCCGAAGCTCGAGGGTGGATATAAATGGAGATCCTGTTGTTGCACAGCACAGGCATACATCAATGGATTGTGATGGTGCCCTAATGATCATCTCCTTAATATATACTCTTGAAGCATCCAACACAGTCACAGTTGACCACTTGGTTGCATCTAAGTACAGCTGGAATTTGGGGTATGTATCTTGCTCCACAGAACTGCCATACAGAAATGTTGCTCGAACAAGGTACCGCCTTCTCTCATCAGTGCTTAGAGTGTAGCAGTACTTCTTGTTGTCTATGGGAAAGTCTCTGCGTCTTTGATACTGCGGCAAGTTTTCATCTGGATTCTCTACTTCTACTGGATTTCCATGGCGAATGACTCCGTTGTCCGAAATCCATGCTAAGCGGGTATTTGGGTCGGTATAATTACTTGTGCCTCCACAGTCAATGCTAGTGAACTCTGCATATAGAATTGTTTGCTTACTAAATTGAGATTCACATGATCTTTATCCTCTAGTTAACTAAGTAGAGCAGAAAACTATGAAGAAGTGAGCTGTCTTGTTCTGTTACATTCTGTGTGTGATGTGTTGAAGAAAATCTTGTCATGTTCATCTTGTTTCTTTTTCAGCATGCATATTCTACACAAAATATGTGATATATGTTTGTGTGTGTGTGAAATCCAAGCTCTGATCACTACTTCAATAGCATTTTGTGAGGAAATATTCTTAAAATTGTAGTGTTTAGAGATGTATAGAGAACATACCTGTAACTTGGCACATGACAGAGGGAATTAAGGAAAGAAAAACAAAAACGAAAGATAAAAATAAGCCCATGGCCATGGAAGATCAGGAAGAAGAGAAATCAATCCTCTGGAACTTGTCTATGGTTAGCATTTTCAGTCAATGGTAGCATAAGATTTTGTTGTTAAGTTCAACAAACTTGCCCATCTTTCATCCACTTACCTTTTACTTTTTCTGATTAATGGATTTTATGCAATGTTCATTCACGTTTCTGTCTTTTCATGATTTTGAAATCTGCTTTTTCNAGATTTTGTTGTTAAGTTCAACAAACTTGCCCATCTTTCATCCACTTACCTTTTACTTTTTCTGATTGATGGAGTTTATGCAATGTTCATTCACGTTTCTGTCTTTTCATGATTTTGAAATCTGCTTTTTCCTAGCAAAGAAAAATTCCACCCCCATTCTTAGAGTCACCTTTTCTTGCTTTGGAAAAGAATACTAATAATGCATGAAACATGACACAAGTGTAAGCCAGAAAGTGAGAACAGATTGGTATGTCTTTGTTTTTTTGTTCTTTCTTTATCTAGTTATTTACCTTTTTTTTTTTAAAAAAAAAAAAAAAAACGTGGTTTAGTGCACAAGACTCCCATTAGTGTAGGTTAGGGAGGGTCAAATGTATACAATCTTACCTCGCCAGTATCTATTGTTTTGTTAGAAATATGGCAAGTGAATTAGTGACCTAACTGGTTCAGCAATCTAATGAATTGGAAACATATGCAAGTATGGTCAAGATGGTAGGGTCCTAACCAACCAGGAATTGGTTGTTTTATTGAATGATGGATGACATTTTCTTGGCTTCTCTCTTTTACATCAGAATCTGACTGGTGACATGTGAGTGAATCAATCTCTTATAGTTTGTTATTGCAATTATTGGGGGGTAAAATAGAACAATGGTCCCTAGAGTATGCATTTTATGTCACTTTGGTCTCCTTATTCTTTAATTTTTATCATTTTGGCCCTTTAATTTTCAATATTTGTCATTTAGCCCCAATAAAAAATTGGTTCTTCAAGTTTTCAAGTTGTGTTATTTTGGTCTCCATTCTTTAATTTTGCCACTTTAATCCCGCAAGCTTCCAAAGAATGCCATTCAAATATGTTCGCATGAGAGGCACACAATCACTTATTTAAGTGTGGTTTTCGATTAGACCAAAATGATTCAAATTGGAAACTTAAAGAACAAAAATAATAAAATTGAAAGAATGAAGATCAAAGTGTCACAAAACACACATCTGAGCAGCCATTAATGTACTTGGTCCATTTATTTAGTATGGTGTTTCACATGACTGTATGAATAGAAGTTTGGCCATGCAAAGGCATCTTATAAAGAAAAAATAGATATCAAGACAAGAACATAGTATAATATGTCCTTGCTTTAGATTGCTTTTGCTTTTGCTTTTGCTTTTGATAACAACAAAATCTTTCTTGTCACTTTGGACCAACTTGTCTTTAGCTTTATCCTCTATAAAGTTTCCAAAAGTAAGAAGTTGATGCCCTTCATATGTCAACATGTTAAAACATGGTCCCCATCTCCTTCCCTGTCTTTGATTCCTTCAGGGCTTCAAGCCTTCAACCAAATCAGGATAGGCCATGGTTGACTCGAACTAAGTCGAGTACTAGACTATTTGGACTCGGTTCATTTGCTTGCGACGAGTATTTGGGATCATACATCTTGTTCACATTTGGGTTTGATTGTTATAATTAAAATGATCTAAGATCAAGTTTCTATTCTAGTTTAACCTAAAGTTTAGGCTCATCTTCAAAGCTAAGCACAAGCAGTGAGCAAGTCATTGTTCAGGCTCGTTTATTGATTAAATGAGGTTTCAAATTGAGTTCGAGTTTGATTCGTTTATAAATGAATGAATAAGTTTTTAACAACACGATTTGTTTATGGTTGCAATAAAAAGCCCAAGTTTTTTCATGTGCTTACTGCTAATACAATGACAAAGTCCCATATTAAGCTTCAATCTCAAAAAATTAGGATTAACTTTCTCTAATTATAGAAACTACTGTAGACTAGATGTCCGACATAGGGCAAAACCTTGGGCCTGAGGAGATGTCCTACGAAAGCCTCTCAAAAGGTATGTGGGGTCGGACCCTGGGCCATGACTAAATCTGGTGGTTGGTCTGGTAGTGAAAGAAGGTTGGGCCTTGGACTACAAAAGCTACTCAATGGGGTATGGTCTATGTAGGGTGTGACGCTGGGCCTTGACCGAAATTGATTTGAATGATAGTTTTTCTGAAAATTGAAATTGAGTCCTCAGATTTATAATGAGTTTAATTTGTCAAGAAAATTTATTTAGGAATATNATGATAGTTTTTCTGAAAATTGAAATTGAGTCCTCAGATTTATAATGAGTTTAATTTGTCAAGAAAATTTATTTAGGAATATATCTATTTTTAATTTTATTAATACGTACTTAAATCCACTATTTTTTTAAAACTCCAAAATACTATTCTTTGAAAGCAACTTTAAATTAGTTTCCTAATTTNTATATATATATATCACGTTACTGTTTTTATGAGCATGTTTCTACTGTTATTTTTTCAAATATTAATACTTAACGTTATTATTTTTTTTTGTTTTTGAATAGTATTATTTTTTATAATTAAAATGTTATTATTATTTTTTTAATGTTATTATGAGAGAGAGAGAAAAATAAATAGTCCTATTTTATATATAGATATAGATAGATATCAGAGAGAGANAAATGTTATTATTATTTTTTTAATGTTATTATGAGAGAGAGAGAAAAATAAATAGTCCTATTTTATATATAGATATAGATAGATATCAGAGAGAGAAAAAAAATAATTTTAATGTTAGTCAAACTCTTAAAATTTAAGAGTTGTTAGCTTTCAAATTTGTTTTAATTAAACATAACTACTAGAGATATTTTGGACAACAGAGTTCATTTTCTTTGATAAATTTATCACTAAATAAGTCTCTTATAATTTCTTTGATGGACCTTCAAATTTTCCTTTTTTTTTTTTTGGATTATTGCATATACCACCAACACAATATGCACATAGTCTATCACCAAAATGACTTAATTTTTAGAGAGATGTTGAAATATAACTTTTATTCCAAAAAAAAAACTTGTTCCATTTCTCCATCCCAACATGAATTTTTGAGATATTTTCGACGTGGAATTTATTTTTCAAACAAGGACATTTATTTTTGATATATAAGATATACTAGTTATTGCCTGTGCCTGAAGGCACAAAGTAATAAAAAATGTTAAATAATAAACATATTTATATTCATATCCAAAATCAAATCATAAACATAGAGGAGAGATAAATAAATTTAAACATTAGTTGTAATGGGAGTGAGGTAATGGGCAGCAGTGGTGGTGATAAGAGACGATGATAGTTGTGGTAGGTGGCAATGACAATGGTGATGGTTGTGGTAGGTGACAATGATAATGATAGAGGTCGTGGTGGCGACGATGACGGTGGTGATAGTGGAGGTGGCGGCAGAGGTGGTGGTAAAGGTAGTGGTGGTGGGGTAGTAATAGTGGTGGAGCAGTTTCAAATACTATTTTTTTTTAAGTATATATGAGAAATAATTTGTAGAAGTACTTTTAAAAAGTTATTCAAAACACCCCCTTATGAGCTTATTTTTTTTTATTAAATTTAGAGTGTTAATATTAGTCATTAGATTAATTTAAAAGTAAAATTTAAAGTGATTTCAACTGCAAATATTAAAAGTCATTTTGTTTATCTATTGACATTTGAATTGTAAGCTACTTTATTATATAAACTAATTATTGTCTGTGCTTGAAGACACAGAGTAATAAAAAATAGCAAACAATAAACATATTTGTATTTATATCCAAAATTAAATAACAAACATGAATAATAGATAAAGAAATTTAAGCATCGATTTGTAGTGGGGGTAAGAGGTAGTGGACGGCAGTTGGTGATGGTAGGAGACGGTGATGGTTGTGGTTGATGGCAATGACTGTGATAGCAGTGGTAAAGGCGACAATGATGGTGGTGGTGGCAAAGACGGTGGTGGCGACGGCGGTGATGGTGGGGGTGGTGGTGGAGGCGGTGGTAGTGGCGATGGTGATAGTGGTAGTGGTGGCAATGGTGGGTGTGGGGGTGACGATGGTGGTGACAACGGCGGTGGTGGGGGGGGGGGGGGGGGACTGTGGGGG